AATAATAATAATAATAATAATATGGGTAAAAAATTAGTATCTTCACAACTTTTGCAGGAAACGGAAGTTTGGGTGACCAAGGCGAAAATGCCACAACATAATGTCATTCAAATTTAAAGATGGTAAAGTGGAAGAGAAACAAACAGAAGAAGTAGAAGAACAACGTGATCGAGCTTGTCTTTGAGGAGGAGAACAACCTTCAAGAATGTATGGCCCACTACACAGATCAGCACTGCCTATCACCATCTCCGAGTCCGTTTCCTGAAAAGTACAACCATGAAAACGAAAATTAGTGAGGTAGTTCAGATCTGTACACAATTTACTAAGAGACAAAAGGTTGCAATCTAGTTTAGGAACATATAAAACATATTGGAGCACAAGGTTCTCGTTAACAACCATTGTGCCAGTGCCTTCCACAGCCGTTAAGGAGCCATCAACAGTCTTAACAAATCGTTGAACCGTAGGCTGCATGAAATCGGTGAACAAATTTCGATTTCCTGTCATATGATTAGTAGCACCCAAGTCCACAATCCAAGAAAACGGGGAAATATTGGTTAGGAAGAGAGCACTACCAGATGGATTCATGGTCGCAGGAGTTTGGTCAACACAAGACAAATTTCTTCGAATCAATTGGTTTAATTCTTCAAGCTGCTGCTAATTGAAATTGAGAGATGAGTCGGATTGCACAACATTGGAGGAAAGATTCTGTAGTGGCCGTTGGCATTGTGGTTTCAAATCAGCAGGTCGATCATGTAGTTTTCAGCAATTCTCCTTTAGATGGCCTGCTCGGCGACAATGATCACACCACGGCTAACCAGGTTTTTGTTTTCAGGAAGAGGCAGAATGCGTTAGCAGAGCAGAAGCTTCAGTTAGGGAAAATTCGATCATCATTAGTGTTCAACGACTTTCTTCACGCCGAACCTCGGAAAACACCTCACCAATGGAAGAAAGAGGTTTGGTGCTGAGAATTCGGTCATGAACAATATCCAAACTCTTATGCAATCCATTGAGAAACTGGAAAATATGTTTCTGGTTCACTATCTTCTTGTAGAGAGCACCACCGATCAAACAAGTCCACGCATGAGCTTTCATACAGATCGATTTGCTGCCAATATCTGTTCAATGTGTTATAATACTGGGTAACTTCTTGCCTTAGGTCGGAGACTTTGCTTTCAATACCAAATAACTCAGAAATGTTATCGGCGCTGGAATACGTCTCTTTGACAACACTCCAGATTTCACGAGTAGTGGGATAGAGGAAAATTTTCGCCAGTTGCAGGAGACATTGTGTTGATCAACCAAGACATAACCAAAATGTTTTCTTGAAGCCATATTTCATAACCAGGATCGGTTTCACCAGGTTTTTCAGTGCCACCTGTGATGTAGCCAAGTTTGCCTCTGCCAGTGATGTACATCTTCACTGATTAGGACCATTGAAGGTAATTATGGCCCAGCAATTTGTGTACTGTTATAGAGGTAGAAGAATCAGCCGGAGTTAATTTCCGAGGAAGAGGATGGAGCCATAGAAGAGAAATAGGAACGGTAATCCTAGACTGATACCATGTGAGTTTTAGAGAAACTAAACTCTCTTGAATTTTCATTCCTCACTTTATTTTCTTCAAATTTGAAATTTAAAAACTAAACCTAACAGCCTAATACTTGGGGGATTTTAACTGACAGAATCAATAACCAACACTTGGTGCCTTAGCCCAAATGGTGAACCCACCTCCAAAACTAGGTAGATTTATACAACGTAGGGATTCGATACCTTACTCCCCTTCCCAATTTCTTAGGCTTTGGTTCCGCTGTCAAGTCAAATTTCGTGCTCTGGTAACAACTAGTGCTTAGCTATAACATGTAGGACTACAACATCTCCCTCTGTTATTTTATCCTGCATATCGTCTTATGCGTGCATTATATATAAATTTAGTGAACGATTTAATATATGATTATATTTTGAAAGGTATAAATATATGAATTCTAAAATCACAAATATATTTATGGTCTGTTTGGAAACAGAATTTGAAAATTCGAATTTGGGTTTCATGTGCTATGTAAATGGTAAGAATAAAATGCACATGTTCTAGATAAAAAGTTAAAGATTCAATATAATATATAGTTGAAAAGTATAAACACACGTATTTATCAAACCCAAAATTATATAAGAATTTCGAATTCACTACTAAATAGGCATCTAATAAATTCATTGATATTGCAATTGGAAGGCTGACGAGCTTGTAAAGTCGGGAATTGGGTAATTGTTTGTAGTTCAGACTACTGTTTTGCTGTGTATAGGATATCTGGGTTGTTTTGTAAGGTGGGGCAAGTATTGCTAAGTTAGGGATATGGTTTTTGATGATATGTCAGCATATTGTTGGTCATTTTTGAGGTTGTATTTTGATTGTGTATGGCTGTAATGAACTCTTGATGTACTTGGCATTTAAGGAATAAAATTTTGAGGTACTCTTTTCCTCCTTCTAATGTTCGTTAAGCTATTTTCGTAGCTTGATGGGTATGAAGGGTTTTTTTTAACAAGGTCTCTCATTTTTATCAATAATAATAATAATAATAATAATAATAATAATAATAATAATAATGAATATTAAATTTCATTGTATTGTATTAATCAATTTGTCACTCATTTTAGACTATTTATGAAATTCAATTTTATTTTCTGAAGTGGAAGTTCCTAAATGCAAGCTTAATTATTTCATCAATAGATTAGATGAAGTCATTAGGGGTGAGTGTTCATATGAGTTGAGTTTTTCCTAGTCGAGTCGAGTCGGAAAAATCGATTTTTCGAGTCGTGTTGAGTTTTGCTCACTCCTAAAAGTCATCACCACCAATTTTCATCTTTCATAAGAGAACTAGCTCTTTCATCTAAATAACAACTTGGCTGAACTGCATTAACGTCTGTTTCTGGAAATGTTACATATTTTCTCACGCATATAGTATGCTGTCTTCCTCCTATGGTAATTGACAGGAAACGGATTACGATTTGGATACGAGTATAGGAGGAGCCCAAGATGAATATGAAGGCAACAAGGATGCAGCCCGTGCTCTCCTGCGCTTAAAACAAAAGTTAGATGGATACGAAGAAGGTGAAATGAGATGTGTACATGGGCAGGTATTCTACAAATTTAGCTGCCACATGACTGGTCTTAAATCGTTGGACTTGAATGTGAAATTGTTTGGTTTATGTGATGTAGGTTCAACAGCTGATTCAAGATGCCATTGATCCTGAGAGATTATGCCAGATGTTTCCCGGATGGGAAGCTTGGATGTGATTCCTATGGTACGAAGGATATACAAGTGTTTATGAATCTTAACCGTTTGAGTAATTAACTTTCAGTCTCGGCATCTTCCTGTTCTTCATTCCATCAAAAAAGCCTCCCAATCATGATTTGTATAGGCGGCTCTATTTGTGACTTTTTGTTAAAGAAAAAGGTCAATTTTGAGGATTTAGGGCTTGGGTGTTTGTACTTTTTGTACATGAAATTATTAGAGGATTTCTTTGAATTTGTAACTTTATTGTTGGTTATCAACATAGTTGAGTTAGTCACACCAAAATTACAAAAATATCAAGAGTGTGTTTGTTTTTCTGTAATTGGTTTTTCTGAAAATGTAATTCATTTTACTGATCAAGTGAATTACCGTTGCATTTTTTAAAAAATGGCTTGCCATCTGATTTTCTGTAAGTCATTTTACGAATCTTCACTTCAAGGCCCGGGTTGCACACCTGGCTTGGTGGGTAAGTATCCCAGCAGAGATTTTCTACATACACAAGGGCTCGAATCTGAGATTTTGCTTAAGTGATATCAAGTTGTTTACCACTTGAATCAATCCCCATAGTTAGTACGTTATTATTTTATATATGTAATATTAATATATTGTTTTAATATCATTTTAACAAAAATGTTAATTATTAAATTTATATTTATTGATAATATGTTATTTTAGATATATTTTAATAATAATATGATAAATAATATTAAATAAATTATTCTGATATTTAAAAAATAATATTATTATTTTGTTAATAAATAATATTATCCATTGTATTTGATGTATACAATAAAGTTTTTTTTTAAAAAATTACCAAAATGAATTACACAATAACATCTAAACACCGTAAAATGATTACTGTCATGCAATAAAAAAAGGAATATGAATCTATATTATTTTATAATTTTTCTAAATTATTAAAAAAAGGAATATTTTTACTGTCATGCAATAAAAAATAAATACCAAAATAAGAAAAATATAATTTAGGGTTAAACTGTCCATTAAACATGTATTGGATTGGGTGAAAAACAAAGGGCATCTTTAACAAATATAGGATTTATCTAACTTAAAAATAAGTTCATTTTGACTGGATAAATTTTATTTTGTTTGTTTAAGATTATTAAAGGGTATTGAATTTTGGAAAAAAAAATGCATTTCTTCTTTTTATATTTAATTGAAATTTTTATATTTGAAAATTTATTAATTATTTTTTTACCAATGTTAATTATAAATATAACATTTTTATAAAATTACTTAATATCATATTTTATATTAGGGTATAAAATGTCATTTAAAAAGAACCTATTATTTTTAAAATTAAGTTAGAATTTTAATATTTAAAAAAATTCTTTAAAATTAAAAGTTTCATATAATAAAATATAGTGTATCACGTGTCACTAATAACTTATAAAATATTATTAAAACTTATCAATTAAAATTAATTAATCTTTTAGTGAATTCAAATAGTTAATTGATCTAATATATTTTATTTTAAAATTTAATTAAGTGAGAAAATAATTAAAATCTTAATTAATTTTAAGAAAAATGTGAGGCCCTTCAACATCCTTTTAGCTTTAGCAGTCAAATTTTGGATTATTGATCCAATATCGATCCGGTTGGGTTTTCTAATAAATGCTCTATCCATAATCCATCCATCAACTTCAACTCCTACTACTCCCCCTTGGATGTCGCGTTCTTGTTCTCTCTCTTCAATCTCAAGCCTTTGAAAAAATCCCATTTCTTCAATCTTTCCCTCTGTCTTTCAACAACAAAAACTTTTAGTTCATTCATACAAAAATCTTTCTTTTTGAAGAAAATAAATGGTTGGTGTTGTTGGAAGAATCATTTAGCGGTGGCTTTCATTCATCGATCCTTATGCTGAACAAAAATGGTGTTCAAAAACAAGCTCTTCTTTTCCTCTTCAAAGAAATCGGATTCCTCCAGTGCCGATGGATCGAACAGCCCTCGATCTGCTTCCAATTCCCCCATCCGGTCCGACAAGAAGAAACCCAAAGCTTCTACTTCAAAGCTCGACTCCCAACACACCCCCAGTCCCCCTTCCACCTCCCTTTCCAGTCCCTTTGCTTGCAAGCAACCCCAAGTCAAAGATGGACTTAGAAGCAAAGACCTCAAACCCAAACAACTCCAACCCCAAACCCCACCTTCTAAGCCCTCTTCTTCTGTTACTGCGTCCAAGAAGCCCGATGTCAAGGACGGGGCCTCCTCTGAGTCGCCTCTTCTGGCCTCTTCCTTGGGGTTGAATCGGATTAAAACCCGCTCCGGCCCCTTGCCGCGGGAGACATTTTTCAGTTTCCGAGGTGAGAAAAGTGCCGCGGCCTCTGTGCTCGGAGCCAGTAACTTGTCGAAGCCTGGAAGTTCACGTATTGGTGGTGGCGGCGGCGGCAATAGTACTTCCTCGAAATCCGGGAAGAAAGACGGGTTGAACAAGAGGCTGGTGCCAGAGAGTTTGCCTGATAATGTGGGTAATCGGAATACTATGTCTACTGGAAACGGTGGTGGTGGTGGTGGGTGGAACTCAAGAGAGCAGAGTCCCGGAGTACAAGGGAAGTCCCGGTTGCAAGACGGGGAATCATCTTCAGAAGCTGGTAGTTTTCTTACTTCGAATCATTACTGTTTATTGTGTTTCTGATATGATTGTTGTTTCCATTATGCCATTGGTGATACTTTAGAGGCGGTATTGTTGCTTTATAGCTATCTGTTATTGTTTTTGTTGTCTCCCCTATTCCGGGACTTTATTCTGGATTTTGTTGTTTAGTGACTAGTTAGATGCTAAAACAGTTTCTTGATGCTTTCATCAACTGTTTAGGATTACCTAATCTTAGAATGTAGTTAAAACTCTGAACTATTCTTCCATGGGTGAAAAAGTTATAGCTAGAGAAGGTCAGGCAGAATGAACGGGAAGGTTTACGTTAACAAGAGGAGTAATAAGTTGTGAAAGAGCATTTTAGTTGGCGCCTTATAAAACTTATTGAGAGATAGTGATGTTTTAGAATTTTACTCTCTAGCACAGATGAATATGCTAAAAGAAAATAATTTGAAGTTCATAACTGCTCTTTCTCCTCCTCTCACCCCTTTTTTTTTCATTGGGTAGAGAGGGTTGATGAACATTTTGTCAGATAAAGTTGCTTTAGCTTGATTGTAGTCACTCTGAGATGATAAAAGATACGCAATGGACTAGGTTACAGTATTTACTCTCACCATACTCTTCTACATTGTTCTTGGACAGCTGGCATGTTGCGAAAGTTATATGACTAGCTTACATGATTTCTGTGAAGTTTCATTTATATCAGTTAACATTCCTTTGATTTTTTATTTGAAAATGAGTTGCTAAACATGTGTGATATGTTTACATCTGATCACAGTGGTTAGCTATATAATGTTGATTGAAGAAATATTAGTACTTGTGATCCTATTGATTCACATTTTATGTTATATTGTACTCTAGTAGGCCTTTCTTGTTTGCCTCCACTTGTCATGTCTAAACAGGGTTTTTATTGAATTCTGGACACATATTCTTCAAGAATGAGAAGCTTAAAATAGAAAGGCCATGGGTGGATGGATGATTAGTAGATATAGAGATGGGTGATGGGCTATTGATTCTGGGAGCACTAAAGGGAATTTCCCCAATAAGATGATATGCCGTAATGCTTACTATTTTCAGCAGCTGCATGTAATTTGACTAATTCTTTCTTTTCTTGTTAGTCCCTTATTTTTCAGTTCTTTCCCTAAGAAGGTGATACAAGTAAAGGGATATGGAATAATTTTTTTGATAAGAATTGAAGGCCTCATTAAAAACCCCCTTCGTGATTAATGGAACTCAAAATGATTTTCTTAATCAGAGGAAGGAGGAAAAGAGTGCCTTATACTTCATTAATAGGAATAGATACATAAGATTTAAAACAACATAAAAAAACCTTTACAAAGAACCCGAATACCCAACATAAAATACCCCTAAAAACCACACTGTAATTAGCCAATACCAGCCTTAGCTAGCGCATCTGCATCCATATTGGCTGTTCTAGCAACCCATCTAATTACACCCAGGGATATGGAATAATTGTTTTTCTCTTATTGCCAGTTCAAATTGTTAGTTACTTGAAGATGCTTCTTATTTAACAAAGTTTTTTGAGTTTTAACAGTCTCTCAGCCACTGCCCCATCTCAACTTATCTGGAGTTCTGAACTTTAATATGACTTTGAAGTACCACACTTATGACTTGGTTGAAATAGACTCGGGGTTTTTCTAGTTATCATTTTCTTTCTTCCTAATATCACAGAGAAAGACCCCACCTCTTTTTCTAGTTATGCATTTCTCTCAAGTTGCAAAATTTATCTTGAGTGCATTTTCTTAGTTTCTCCTTCTTGTTTTCACTAGGAGAACATTTCTTTTAAATTTTTTAGGATTTCTAGGGTTTAAACTACATTTTATTTGGAATACTGTTTAACAATGAAGTGGTTTCACTGCATGAAGCCGTGCTGGCAATTTGTTGTGATTTTTTTCTCAAACGTTGCTTTGATACCTTGAATTTTTTTACCAGGGCGAAACGAGTCATCATTGGGCCACTCTGGAGGGTTAAAAAGTTCAGATTTTCATACACCAGAGGTACAGTAGTATTTTCATTGATCCTTACCTTACTGTTACTTATTACTAGTGGTGACTGCCTTTTTTGGCATTTTAAGTTTCAACTTGTGACGCTATTATTGCTTATTTGAATACTTCTTTCCTAGACTTCACATGATTGTGAAAACCCAAAAGAATCTGAATCTCCCCGTTTTCAAGCTATCCTTCGTGTTACAAGTGGTCCTCAGAAGAGGTTTCCTGCCGATATTAAGAGCTTTTCGCATGAATTGAATTCCAAAGGCGTACGACCTTTTCCATTTTGGAAACCTCGACGCTTAAACAACTTGGAGGTACATTGATTCTATTTCTTGACTACTATTTTCATGCAGTTTTGTATTTCTAACTAGATTTTTATTTCATGCAGGAAGTCTTGGTTGTGATTCGAGCAAAATTTGACAAAGCAAAGGAGGAAGTGAACTCTGATCTGGCTGTTTTTGCTGCAGATTTGGTTGGAATTCTAGAAAAAATTGTCGACAGTCATCCTGAGTGGCAGGAAACCATTGAGGATTTGCTGGTTTTGGCTCGAAGCTGTGCTATGACACCACCCGGAGAGTTTTGGCTCCAGTGTGAAGGCATTGTTCAGGAGTTAGACGATAAGCGTCAAGAACTCCCTCCATGCGTGCTAAAGCAGCTTTATACCCGGATGCTTTTCATTCTCACAAGGTGTACTAGATTGTTGCAGTTCCACAAAGAAAGTGGGTTGGCTGAGGATGAAACTTTTATACAACTTCGCCAATCTAGAGTCCTGCATCCTGTAGATAAGAAAAGTTTTTCAGGCGTGCTAAGAGAAGCAAAAGGTTTGAGTTCATCAAAGGCATCAAAAGCAGCCTCATCGAAGAAATCTTATAGTCAGGAGCAACATACTTTGGATAGGAGTAAGGAACATGTTGGCCTGCCTGGAGGTTTTGTTGCTCCCATTGATGACACTCCAAAGAACTTGGAATCTCCTGCAAGCAGAGACAGGATAGCTTCTTGGAAGAAACTCCCAACTCCAGTCAGAAAAGGTCCAAAGGAAGCTAGTCAAGCTATTGTTATCAAGGAGCAGAATAGTAGTATGATTGAAACTTTGAAAAGAACAGGAGCCTCCGATGTAGACATGGCTTCTGTTAAACTTCAGGGGCTTCCTGCTGCAAAAGAATCTCAAGGGCAGTCTTCTAAGCATCAACACAAAGCTTCTTGGGGTTATTGGGGAGATCAACCTAATGTTTCTGAAGAAAGTTCTATAATATGCCGCATTTGTGAGGAGGAGGTTCCCACCTCAAATGTGGAAGATCACTCAAGAATATGTGCAGTTGCTGATCGATGTGATCAGCATGGTTTAAGTGTTGATGAACGTCTTGTAAGAATTGCTGAAACACTTGAGAAGATGGCAGATTCCTTTGCTAATAAGGATATCCAACACTTAGGGAGCCCAGATGTTACAAAAGCATCAAATTCAAGTGTAACTGAAGAATCCGATGTTCTATCTCCTAAACTAAGTGATTGGTCAAGGAGAGGTTCAGAAGATATGCTTGATTGTTTCCCTGAAGCTGATAATTCAGTTTTTATGGATGACCTTAAGGGTTTGCCTTCCATGTCATGTAGAACTCGCTTTGGTCAGAAGTCTGATCAAGGAATGACAACATCATCTGCCGGAAGCATGACTCCTAGATCTCCTATAGTGACACCAAGAACTAGTCCAATAGACTTGTTATTGTCTGGCAGGGGTGCTTTCTCTGAGCAAGAGGATCTTCCACAGGTATCTCTTTGCCCAATTGTTATTTCAGAACAACTTACCTGCTTTAAGAACAGCAGAAATCGCTGTGTACTGTTATATGTTCGATGAAATAGTATGCTTTTTGATATTTTCTGTACAAGTTTATAGTTCCCCTCCCTTGACCTTCCATCCATTCACAGCTCTCCTTTCCTGTTATGCTCTTCCTTTTGTTTGTTTGAAATACTTGTTATATAAAAGACAATTTTGTCTATGTTTTTGTGATTTGTAATCTGTATCAGTTAAATTTTTGCAAATACAATTGTTGTGCACCAGCATTGGATCGCCAATAGTTACTTATGCAGATAGATTATACAAGCATTGGACTGTCTATGCAGATAGATTATAAAGTATGTAAGACGAAATCTTTCATCTTAATTTGTTTCTGTTCGATTTTGCAAATACAACCCTATGCGTTGCTGATGCATTACATATCTGCTTTGAAGAGTCTGGGTTTTGTGGCCCTATGAGGTGTTACTTTTTAATATCTAGTTGGGTGTATTTTGGTCTTACTGTAGCAGTGCCAACTGCCAAGTTATAATTTCTTCCATGTCATGCAGATGAATGAACTTGCTGATATTGCCAGATGTGTAGCAAATACGCCATTGGTTGATGATCGTTCCATGCCATATTTGCTATCTTGTCTTGAAGACTTGAGACTCGTCATAGACCGCAGGAAATTCGATGCACTTACGGTAGAAATATTTGGGGCACGCATTGAGAAACTGATAAGGTAAGTATGCTGCTGTTATTCGTTAACACATTCTTTGGGGCAGATATTCTTTGACATTTGAGGACAAAGTAGTAAGTGGCTAAGTGCACTCAAAAAATTAAAATTTAGCCATGTGATGAAAATTTTACTGAACATTCAATTGTAAAGAACGTTTGAATTTGAGCAAAATTTGCTAATTGAGTTTGTTGTGGTTTCTTTATTCATTTATGATTTCAACGTTTAGGGAGAAGTACTTGCAGCTTTGTGAGCTAGTCAACGATGAAAAGGTTGATATAACAAGTACCATTATTGATGAGGATGTTCCTTTAGAGGATGATGTGGTTCGTAGTTTGAGAACTAGCCCTGTTCATTCATTTAAGGACCGTACCTCCATAGATGACTTTGAGATAATAAAACCAATTAGTCGTGGAGCATTTGGACGCGTTTTCTTAGCTAAAAAGAGAACAACGGGGGATCTTTTTGCTATTAAGGTACCTGAGTTTTATTTTCTTTCCCCAATATATTTTTTATCAATGAATATATCTTATTCTTTTTAAAGCTTGTCATTGGTTTGTTTGCTTTGGTCGATTCTTCTTGTGTTTTCATCATGAATAAGTAAAATGTAATTGAAGGCATCTTTGGTATTGTGATGCATATTCAGTTGCCCTCTCACTGTCTTACAGACTTTGGGTTTTATGTGACTCCCCTCTATATTTCTGCTGTTCCATATTTGGGCCTCTCATCTTATTTTTCATTATTATGTTCACAATGAGAGTGAAGATGGATTTAATTTTCGATAAAAAAATGTTTTTGCTGTTTGGTGCAGGTTCTAAAGAAAGCAGATATGATTCGTAAGAATGCAGTTGAAAGTATATTAGCTGAGCGCGATATTTTGATTTCAGTCCGCAACCCATTTGTGGTGAGCAGGTCTTTCTTGAATGATTTGACTTTTCCTTAAGGGGTTGTTATCTTATTCTTACATTAATCTATCATCTCTGTGCTGTATAGGTTCGATTTTTCTATTCATTTACTTGCCGTGAGAATTTGTATCTTGTGATGGAATATCTAAATGGAGGAGATCTATATTCATTGTTGAGAAATTTAGGTTGCTTGGATGAAGAGGTTGCTCGTGTATACATAGCAGAAGTAGTAAGTTTTGGTTCTTTTTGGCCATAAGTTTTTTTTGGGATACACAATTTTTGGTTTAATATATATAGGCTTGCGTTAGTTGAATTCTTTTTCTTGTTATTTATAGTGTAAAATCATATATACATGTTTTAACAGGTGCTTGCCTTGGAGTATTTACATTCTCTGCATGTGGTTCATCGAGATTTGAAGCCTGATAATTTGTTGATTGCACATGATGGTCATATCAAGGTGATGGTTTAATATGACCTTCCTTGCTTCCCTTCTCTTTCATGGGTATTAGAAGATATACATTGCGTGCTTTTGTTACTTCGTTGTTTTCAGTAATTATAATTGTGCCATTATTGACGGTCACAATAGAAAATGTCATTTGTTTTCGGGTCTGAAGTGGAATATCATATTTCTATTTGCAGTTGATTTATTATTACTGTAGTTGTCGTGCAAAATATCATCTTTCTCTTTACTGTTATTTCATAATTTATGAGATTTATTGATATTACAATGCCAAGTTGAAATGTGTTGTACGGTACTGGTTAATTAGGGAAAACTGAAACTCATGTTCAAAGGTGAGATGTGATTGAGTGGTCAAGGTACTGTCTATTTTTTCGAGATGATAATTTGTTAAGCAAACGAGGGCACTGAAATAATACTTCTTTAATGCCAACATTTTCCGAACTCTCATTATATTGGAACATACCCTTTCAAAGTAATAGTTAAGTTTTCCTTTGTTGCAGTTGACAGATTTTGGGCTTTCAAAGGTTGGTCTCATCAACAGCACTGATGATTTATCTGGTCCAGCAGTTAGTGGTACATCTCTACTCGATGACGAGCAGCCTCAGTTATCTGCATCTGAGCACCAGCAAGAAAGGCGGAAGAAACGGTCTGCTGTTGGTACACCTGACTATTTGGCACCAGAGATCCTTTTGGGAACAGGACATGGTTTGTATAACTCGTTTTAGTTTAAGGTGCTTTAATTTGTTTTTAATCATCTGTTTGCCTTAGAGGTCAAGTTAGATTAAGGTCAACCTGAAAAGTGTATTAACCTAGAAGCTCAAGCAACTTGGATCCAAATTATTAGTTGATCAAAAGATTTTTTATTGATATCTTGATCATAATTTGATCGAGTCCTATGGTGGCTGATTGGTTTCCCCTCCGTTTCTACCTGATATGCTTATGCATTTCTTCATTGGTTGATCTTTTTTAAATCTGTAAGTTTACCATATTGTCTAATTTTCCTCAGGTGCAACTGCGGATTGGTGGTCTGTAGGTGTCATTTTATTTGAACTGATTGTTGGGATTCCACCCTTCAATGCAGAACATCCACAAGTAATATCTTGATTCTAGCTGTTCTAGTTCTTGCTACCACTGGCTGTTTCTGCTCCCTTTTACTTTTATCTTATGCTTTTTGTTAAGTAGTGTTAGGCAGATTGCATTGAGAATGAGGCTTTGTAAGAATGAAGCTATTTCTAGACTAGTGACAAACATCTTTCTAGGTGTTTGGTCAATGAGGGAGGAAAATCAGTTGTGTTTGGTCAACTTCAATTTAAAATTCTCAATGCTAGTTGCCTACTTGCCTTCGCAACTTTCTTGTGGTAGTACATTGGTCTGAAGACATAAGTCTTATGCCAATTGTTGGGTATACTTTTGTGTTCCAGATGTTCCTTTCTTTTCAGGGATGGGAGCTACTGAGACAATGGTTTTTTCTAGCACCATGGGCAATTAAGGGGGTATATTTTCTGTTTGGTTGATTTAAAACTGCATGGCAGCTATAGTGTATATTACTCACTTTCCAGTCAGTTTTGGACTCCAGATTCCTGAACTAGAAGGAACTTTTATGCTTTTCTTAATCTTTAGGCTTTGTGTTCCTGGGTGTTTTAATGTTGATATTGTTTTAAGGATTTTTTTTCTCTTTAAAGATTGTTCATTCTCTGAACTATAGGATTTACTAAAATGCTGCTAAAATTATTGACATGCTATCCTCTTGGATATTTCGGCTTTAAATTATTTCTTTTTCATACTTTAATTTTCTTCCATGTTCTGGTCCTAGACAATATTTGATAATATTCTCAACCGCAACATACCTTGGCCAAGTGTGCCAGATGAAATGAGCCTAGAAGCACATGATCTAATTGATCGGTAAGGAAATTGTTTTATTGATGTCTTTTTTGCATTTTGTGAGAATTTGATGCATGTCGAAATATATAACTTTGTTCGCAAAGAATGAGGCTTAGTAGTTTCTTATAACATTATTTCATTGACATTTTTGCAATGGGTTAAGAAACATTTGGGCGGCAACTTTTCCCAAGTTGATACCCAGACCTTTTTCGGTCCAACCTGGTGCTCAAGCTTGGATTTCGTCACATATTTTGGCCAAAATATAACACCATTAGTTTTTTCTTACATAGCAACGTGAGCCAATCAAAACACAACACATGTACATAAAAATAAATCCACCTAACTTCTATATTTTTTCAGTTGTCCTCCCCCCCCCCCCCAAATTTTCTTTAACTTCTACCTAAGTTTGCTGCATGGGTATGTGTCTAGACGTCTGACTCGGCTATTTCGTTGAATAGACACGAGGAATAGGCACAAAGGGTCTAAGAGAAGTACATGTTCTTATTTTCTCAACTAAGTTAACAGCTTTGTTTTCTCCGTTTATAGAAATGTAAATCTCTTTATAGCCTTTCTGAAGAGTTTTACAGATTAAAAAGAAGCTAACTTTATGTTAGTGTATTAACAATTTATATAAAATTTCTATATCTTGAAACTCATATTTCCTTTTTGAAAATTTTCATATTTCATATGTTAAAAACCGTTTCTTGAGCACTATTAATGTTCATTCTCTCCCTCTCATTTTATTTTTTAAAGATACTTTTAATATGGCTGTGTTATCGTTAACTTTGTAAAATATTTTTTTGAAAAGACTTCATCAAGATGTTTTAGCTGATGGTTCTCCCAAAATCAGTGGTATCAAGCTTAAATGTATCTTGGGAGACTCTTGGTTTTTGTAGTGTTCTTTTTGTTTCAGTATTTTTCTTGGTTCGAATGCATTGTTATGGACTTAAAATTGCATAATTTATTCAATTTCCAGACTGTTGACGGAAGATCCCAATCAGAGACTTGGAGCCAGAGGAGCATCAGAGGTGATATTGATTCTTAAATTTGAGTAGAAGTTATGACATTTTCCCCCCTTTTTTAAATATTTTGGCATATTTAAAATAATTATTCCGGTCTTAGTATTTGAATCCCAAACACGGAATTTTGTACAGGTGAAGCAGCATGCATTTTTCAAAGATATCAATTGGGACACACTTGCAAGGCAAAAGGTGTGTAATGTGTATGTCTTTCCATCATTTCTGAATTTTGAGCCATCCAACTGTTTTTCGAGTGGCATTTTTAATCATAATGCTTTTTATATCTTACAGGCAGCCTTTGTTCCCAGTTCAGAGAGTGCACTCGATACTAGTTACTTTACTAGTCGCTACTCGTGGAATCCTTCTGATGACCATGCATATCCCGGTAGTGATCTCGATGACTCCAGCGATGCTGACAGTTTAAGTGGCAGCAGTGGCTACCTGAGCAACCGCCAGGATGAAGTGGTACCTTAGCCCCAGAAATTTGCTGTTTCACAACCGATGGTTTATCTATGATTTGTGCTATTTGACCTTTTTGTTGTTATGTTGACCATGAATGAAACAGGGAGATGAATGTGGAGGTCTGGCTGAATTTGAGTCCAGTTCACCCTTGAACTATTCTTTCAGTAATTTCTCATTTAAGGTATTCTTTTCTTTTACCTAGTAAGCTGCATCAGTAATTTTTTATTTGTAGTTTGCTAGCGCTTACGCTGTTGCCAGAATGGCTCCTAGGGAAAAATTCTAGGTTTTCATTTTTTTAGATAATTTTCCATAGCCTTTTTGTCCTTTTATTATAAGCATTTTTGTTTTACTCCAATGTTGCATGTAACTATAAACACATACCTACATAAGGTCTGGCTGATTTTTTAATCGTTCGTTTGTCCATTGTATACAAGATGGTTTGCAGAATTCTTAATTTGAAACTGCATTGTGATTTTTGTGGTTAGTTTTCTTGATCAAGTTTTGCTAATACATCTTTTTCGTCGTGGTGGTTAGAATCTGTCCCAGCTCGCGTCTATTAATTATGACCTGCTTTCTAAAGGTTGGAAGGATGATCCTCCGGCAAATTCGAATGCATAGGGTGCTCCTCTTCTTAGTGAGAGCTCCGTTTTATTTTTTTCACATTAGATTGACGTGGTATCATTTAAGGAGCCTCGTCATCGGTGCTGTTTGTGAAGACTGTACATGTATGTATGTGATTTGAATTTTTGCTACACCTTTAATATTCTGTCTTAACAAGTACTGCATTTGAAGCAACTTGATATTGGTGTTTGATGCATGCAGAGATGGAAGAAAACTTGGGATTGTAACCGTTTTGGGATGTGCTGTTTTCGTAGGTAAACGACTGGTACTCGGATTTCGACTCCGATAACCTTGATGAGCCATAATTTTACATGCTGCAATGGCGGTATGATCTTTTGGCTGATGGTGTGACTTGTGATCTCTCTCTATACTCGTCAGTGTTGTGAAAACACAGCCTCTATGTTCCATTCAAAAGGGCTTCTTGATAAGTTGTAGTTTTGGCATTGTATGGTGGTAAATGTCAGTTCTAAGCATATATTGAGATGGCCCCAAATATATCATATGAATTTTTAGGCCCCTAAAAGTAGTAGTCCATGCCATTATCACATTATGTGTAAAATAATTTCTTATACCAAAAAGTGAAGTTTTTCTCATGTGATAGAATTGAATGAGATTTTTTTTTATGATAAATTATTTTATTTTTCATAAACTTGCACATACTTGTATTAGTACGAAAACTCGTATCAATATACGATCAAGTTTAAGGATTGTCTTTGATAATTTAAAATCAGGAACTTTTTCTCATAATATTTTCATATATTACATTATTTGTATACATGCACGAGTTTTTAAAAGTGTTTAAATATAGTCTTCTAAATATACGTTCATTCATTGAGCGATTAAAGAAAAGATCTATATATACATCTTAATGTCAAATTGTCCAATCGACTCGTGCTCATGTTCAACACGTGTCGCACATGTTATTTGTTTTTGAATAAAATTTATATAATTTTTTGTCCTTTATTTTCTGTTTGTTTTCATTTTAATCTTGGATTCTGTCAATATATGAGAGAAAGCGTCTACAAAAGTTGTCATGTATGCAAATACGTATCATTATATTATTACAATGAAAATTTTAAAATAATATTGTTCTAATTATATACTTTTAAAAAATTTATTCAGTAATATTTTTATTAACTTAAAAGATTGTTATGAATTGCGTTAAAAAAAATAAAACAAGTCTCTGTGTTTAATTTAATGGTTTTCAAAAAGTAGAAAATTGTAGCTCTCAGATGAGTGGAATATATCAGTCGGTTGAACAATAATGATATTGTTTTCGTCACAATTATTTTTTTAAATAATATATAATGTTATGTTTTAGATTTCTAGTTCTATTTTGGTTACTATCCGTTAAAAAATTAATAATGGTATTGACCTGATACTTTTTTTTAATTATTTTTCAATCATGATATGATATAATCATGTGGTACATCAACATTATTGTTATTTCTTTTAACGATAAGTGATCAAAACATAACCAAAACGAACTATTAAGTATGATTTAGATGACAAACAGAAAATAACTAATAGGTGGTGATTTTACCCTATATTTTTGTCTGATGTCATCAAACTGTTGACACCTGGAGGTTTTATAAATAGTTGAAACCAAAAACCCTTCTCTGTACAACCATCTTTCATCTCTAGGATTTGTTGCTCTCAGACCTTGTTAACCTTAGCCTCTCCGACACCACCGTCAAGATTTTTGCTGAATATATATATGGTATGTTGTTTCGTTCTCTTAACATAAAATTCAGATTCCGTTTCTAGACAACCGAGTCTTATATTGGTTGTTGATTAAATACTGAACACTTTCTGCTATATCTATGTGATGAATTGTGGGACACTGCAGGATTGGTGGGTCTGGGATGGACCTTAGAAGAAAAGCCAGGGTAAATCTATAACTATATCACATCTATTCATTCGCTTTTGATTAGTATTTTTTGTTTATGATTTGTATGGGGACATACATACAGACTCTTCCTGCCCCAGTATATGATCCTAAAAAGCTTCCAAAATGGAATTATGATGGTTCAAGCACAGGCCAAGCTCTTGGGGAAGACAGTGAAGTCATCTTATAGTATGCCTCTTCCATTTCTCATTTTCCATAATTTGATTGTTATATATATATATATATATATATATATATATATATATGCATGTATGTATGTATAAGTCTTCATGTCTTTTTGTTTCTGAAAACAGTCCACAAGCAACATTCAAGGATCCCTTCAGAAGGGGCAAAAACATTCTGGTATGTCCCTTAAATTGCACGTACATGAATGAATCAGAACTCAACTTAAAGCCATGTTTTGTTCCTAAATGTGCCGGTGATGTGTGATGCCTATACTCCTGCTGGTGAACCAATTCCAACAAATAACAGATACAATGCAGCCAAAATATTTAGCCACCCTCAAGTTCTTGCTGAAGAGCCCTGGTATGGGATAGAGAAAGAGTATACTCTGCTGAAAAAGGACGTGAAATGGCCGATCGGATGGCCTACCGGTGGTTATCCTGGACCTCAGGTAAACCATTTTTATCTCCCTTTTTTAAGGTCCGAGTTCTGCAAATAACTGGGAATGATTTTGGGGGTTCATAGGGACCTTACTACTGCGGTGTTGGTGCGGATAAGGCCTTCGGTCGGGACATCATCGACTCCCAATACAAAGCCTGCCTTTATGCTGGTATCAACATTATTGGCATCAATGGCGAAGTTAATCAAGTTACTTAAGTGGTTAAAAGAATTATTGTTATTTCTAGATGTCTTAAGTTCGAGCACCAGAGACTGTAAGATATTTAAACGTTTATTGTTAAATAATTAAAGATTTTTAGTACATATTTTATTATTTGTAACCATCTTAATTAATAAAAAAAATACTACATTATTTTTAGTTGTTAACCGAAGTGTTTCTTAATTTATAATTATTATAAGATAATTTCTTTTTCAAAATTTGTTTTTATGGAGAAAAGAGAAGCATGTGGCGATAGATCATATGCCTAAAACTGTGCGCCCTTCTTTATAAAGGGGGAAAAAACAAAAATATACCAAAACGGATAAATTTAGGGGTACTACTTAATATTTACTTTCTGTTTTTATTTTTTATTTTTTATCAATAATTTACCTTTTCAATAAATAATTGTTTAATATTATTTTTAATCTTTAGTGCATATGCTGCTTGGTTGATAATGCTGATAATACTAGAAATATTTAAATTATAATTTTAAAAAAAAATTCTGAAAGTTGGAATGAAAAATACAACTTATAATGCATTTTCCTTGTTACGAAGAGAATAACGTGTGATTAAAAAAAAGAAAAGAAACCGACTTTCTTAATATGCTTAATAACTAAAGGGTAAACTAAAACTAAACATGAGATCGCTCAATTATAGGTCTAATAATAGATAAGTTGGTTTTTAAATTATAATTATATCATTCAATAAAATATTATTATAAATAAGTTATTTTATCCTTAAAATTGAGATGAGCGTCTAATATATATTTTTAGTCTTAATACTTATGTATTTTATTAGTTTTTTATTAAGTATTCGTTTGTTTTACTGAAAACAGTTTCCAAAAAATAAAATCTTGAAAATGAATTACATTTCTGGAAAACATTTTTCAGAAAATATTTTCCAGTGTTTGGATGGTACATTGTAAAATGTTTTACACTTTTTGGTTAATTTTTCTAAAAACAGTTTTTAGAATCTGTTTTTAATAAAGAAGCCTACATATTCAATATGTTTTTATTATTTACCTTAGTTTTAAAGGCTCATTTTATTTTTAAATAATGATATTTTATAAAAATATGTATCTTATTAGTACATCAAACTAAATTTTAGATAATATTAATAATTTATGTTGATTGTGTTATAAATACACTATTTTAGGTTAAAATCTCCATGATGTTTATTCATTTGTATTTTTAGAAATGAATTTCAATGTATAATTAATATTATGTAGGTTTATTTGAATTAATATTAATAATATAAAAATATATTATAAAAGTTTATAAATATTATGTAGGTTTAATTAATAGTACACCACATTAAAACAATAGTACATAACATTGTAATAATAATAATAATAACAATAGTGTCAAAATATATAATTAAAAGGTTTATAACATTAAAACAACAATAATATTCAACCGTAATATACAATTATATATGCATCAAATTAAATCCCTAAATCATAAGATATTACAGTGTGCTCAAACTCACAACAGAGTATTTTTTTTAATAGAGAAAATCTTGGAGGTAAAATAATGAACATTTGCACTGCATTTGCAATAAAAGCAGCATATTTAGAATTCCCTCTCACTAAAATTACACAATTTATTTATCTATTTTAACTATTTTAACATGAATTACTATATATCTAAATCAATGGTGAAAAAACATTTGAACTATCTAATAGAATTCCTTTGGTCGCTTGGTTCCAGCTCTTCAATTTTTTGTTTAAGCAGCTCAACTTCTCGTGCTAGATCTTCATCTTTTTGTTTCATTGCCTAAACAGTAGACAATGGAAAAACGACGAGTTATAATAAACCAAGCAATGATGACAACAAGCATCATTGCACAAACGCACCATGAGTAAAAAATTAATCACCTCAAAGTGCATCATCGCAAGATTGAACCCATCGGTGTTCAGTACTAAAAGCTAATTGTCGTAACCGATTTTCGTCCGGGCACGAAATATTATACTTGGCGGGAAAATTGATGTGAATAAATGGTTTTGAAAATAATTTGGGAGTCGCCATCGGCCTTTTGGGTCAGGTAGGTCGAATACCTAAATATTATTTTTTAAAATAGTTTTAAGAAAACATCAATTAAAAATGAACTGATCTGCGTTTATAACCAAAAATTCGTTCTTTTTAATAATAAAAAGGGATTCGTGGTCGGTTACGTTTAGGGAAGGATTAGCACCCCTACAACGCCCAAAATTGGTACTTTTTAATTATAAATTGTCTCTATTAAAAATTTCAAAATATATTTAATTTATAATCTTATTATTTCGAAATTATAAAAATGTTTATTTATTTAAAAATATTGGAAAAGAACTTCTAGGTGCCTTAAGACAGTTCTTTTCTTTGATATTTAATTAAATAATATTTTTTATAATATTTAATTTTAAAATACTAGAATAGGACATCCAGTTGTATTAAGACTGCCCTTTTCTTCGATATTGAAAAATAAATATTAAAATAATTTATTAAAAATATATATAACTAATTATTATATATATTTATAACTATATAATTATAATAAAAGTATTTAAATATATAAACAAATAAAACAATAAAAATACAATTAGAACGATATATTTAAAAGCAGTAAAATAAATGAAAACATTTAAAATTAGTGACTAAAATATAGTAAAATTAAGATTAAAAATCTAATTCATAATTAATCAAAAATTATAGGGATTAAACATGCTATTTTCTTATTTTATTAATTTAGTGACTAAAATAAAACTATATAAAATTCGGATATTAGATTAAAATAAATTAAAAATATAAACTCGAGATTAAAATATTAATTATTAAAATTAAGGGACTAAATATGTTATTTATCCTAAATATTTATAAATATGGTTAAGGGCTAAAATATAAAAAAATAAAATTTAGAGACCAAATTAAAAGGATTATAAATTTGATTTAGTGACTAAAATGTAAAGATTACAAGTTAGGATGGCTGCGGAAAGGGTTTAACCTTTACCAAATTACACAGGTACCCCTCATCAAAGCGGCGTCGTTTTGATGAGGGTATTAATACCCAAACGGCCGGCCTCCCTTGGGCTATTGTTTCATTTTGTCTGGTTTTGCTTCTCTCTCTACAGAGAGAGAAGCTCTCATTTTCCTTCACCAGAGAAGAGAACCGGTCTCCGTTTCCGGCGACGATCGCCGCCGCCGGCCGCCGTCTCCGGTAGCCGGAGATTACCAAACTACACCAAATTAAAGATCTCAACTCCTAAAGGCCAAATCCAACCTCCTTTTACCCTAAATCCCCTTAGATCGACCTAGATCTAAGGTTTTTTACCTTTGACTCTCGACTTTCCGATGGTACGAGGAGACTCTGATGACTGCAGTTTCCTCGGTAAGTTTCTCTCTTCCCTTCTCTTTCGATATTTGACTGTTGGGTTGTTCTGTGTTGGCTTGCTGTGGTCCCTCTTTGTTTTTGTCTCTCCGTTTTTCTCCCCTTCCTTCTTCCTCCTTTTTCAGGTTTGGTGGTGGCTTTTTATAGCCACCACAGTGCTCGGATCGGACCAGTCCCAAGAGGGAAGCTTTGGTGAGTCACCATAGCTATGGTGGTGACTCACCATAGGGCTTCAACGTGTGTGGCTTCATGGCAACGGCGGGCTTAGACATCTGGAAGTGGAGGTGTCGGCAGTGTAGACGTGGGGCGGCTGGAACTCACTGGAAGCGGCGGCTGGGAGCTAGGGTTTGGGCCGGTTTGTAATTATTATTATTTTTAATATATATAATAATATATATAATAATTATAATAATAATAATAATAATAATAATAATAATAATAATAATAATAATAAATAAAATGGGTAAAAAATTAGTATCTTCAGCTGCCCCTCTTTGCTCATTCTTGTGTTAACAAGAATAGGGCAAAGACGAAAAGATAATAAATTTTTTTATCTATTTGACTTCACTTGATTATGATGGCAATGTTGAATAAATTCTTCTTTCTTCAGATGAGTTCTTCTCATTATGAACTTTCCGCTGGGGATGATGTTGACCTATTTCCTTCTGTGATAGAGTCATTCAAAAGGTTGAACAAGCTCTTTTCATTGTGAACTTCTTCTTTTTCAGATTAGTTCTTCTCATTATGAACTTCTTCTTCTTCAGATGAGTTCTTCTCATTATGAACTTTCTCTGGAAAAGCTGATCTATCAAGTGATGGATTTGAATAAAAGGTTGAACAAATTCTTCTCATTATGAACTTCTTCTTCCTTCTTCAGATGACGAGTTCTTCTCATTATGAACTATACCTGGCAATGTTGATCCATCAAATGATGAATTCAAACAAAAAGTTGAACAAGTTCTTCTCATTATGAACTTCTTCTTCCTTCTTCAAATGAGTTCTTCTCATTATGAACTTTCTCTGGAAAAGATAATCCATCAAGTGATAGATTTGAGCAAAAGGTTGAACAAATTCTTCTCATTATGAACTTCTTCTTCCTTCTTCAGATGAGTTCTTCTTATTATGAACTTTCTCTGGAAAAGCTGATCCATCAAGTGATGGATTTGGGAAAAAGGTTGAATAAATTCTTCTCATTATGAACTTCTTCTTCCTTCTTCAGATGAGTTCTTCTTATTATGGACTTTCTCTGGAAAAGCTGATCCATCAGATGATGGATTTGAGCAAAAGGTTGAACAAATTCTTCTCATTATGAATTTCTTTTTCCTTCTTCAGATGAGTTCTTCTAATTATGAACTTTTTCTGGAAAAGCTGATCCATCAGATGATGGATTTGAATCTTTGCTAAAATTTTGAAATTCCTGTCAAATATTCAACATGGATAAAATGAATGAAAATGCTCCTATTTTGCAAATGTCTAAATATGATGCATGAATGTTGATGCAATCTTCATTTGGCTTCAAAAATGGTGAACTTGGTTTTCCTCCACTTCATCATTTATTGTCAAGGTCACTTCTGGATATCAGTGTAGAGCTTGCATTTCTGCAGAATCATCTGATTAACTTGTATCTTTATGTCTTCTTTGCTTCATGAAAGTCTCTGAAGGAATGTTTCATTTGTGGAACTCTTGCTGTAGTCAGAACTATGACCTTGATGTCCTATTTTGTCTTGGATAAAACTAATTTTCTTTTCTTGGACTTGTGCAGAAATCTGATAAAGCTTTCATCTTTGAAAAGATAATCTGTCATCTTTAAAAAGGGAATCTATCATCTTTGAAGAGTGTAGATGTAGATATGCCTGACTCAACAATGATTAATTGGGAGTAGAGTCTGTTCTGTTTTAACTCTTGAAACACATCATAAGGAAGATTTATTCCAATTCCTTTCATATTTCCATATATAATCAGATCTCAAATAAGGCAACTTGGATCATATCATATCGAAATGCTTAACAACAACATGTCATTCAACCTTAGTTGGTACTACTAGTTTCCTGTTTAAAATTTTAATTCTCCTTCTGTGGAAAGAAATCTTCATCTTGTATCAATAAAGGAAAACCATATGATAACAACATTGGTTTAACACCATAATCACTGGTTCGTAAAACATTTGACAACAAATTCTTCATCTCCTGAGGCTTCTGCTCGAATTGCTGGTCAATAAAGCTCTTTGCATGGTTTTCAAAGTTTTTGTATGATGTCACAAAACCACTTGAGAACAAAACTCAGTGGGAATACAGGTGAAATACTGGTATGACCAAAAATAGTTGGTCAAATTCACAAAATGCTGGTGTCGAATTGAATAGGAGACACTAACTTGATCTCTATATCATCCTGGGCAAGGGCAAATGTAATACTGATCACGTTTTCTTCTGTAATGAGCATTGTAGAAAGTAGAAGTACTTCATCTATAGGATCCATGTACAGAAAGATATATGTGGAATTCTTGCTGCTGGGGATGAAACGCACATGATAAAACCCAAAATAGATAAAAATTCAGTTCATTCCTGGCTGGCAATAAAAACCCCAATAACAACGGGAATAACAGTAATATAAGTGAATCGAGTCTCCCTTTCCAATGTCATCGATTAAGCGAAAACTATTGTGAAAAACAGCTTCGTAATTCCAACAGTATGGTATGAAACTAACTGCCAGGAAATCTCAAAGAAATATTTTCAATTGTCACCGACACAGAGAATACAAAATTCAAAGCTGAGATCTCGAGGAACTGAACCCTGGATCGAATAGTCTGCATGGGGACCATCTTTATTCATGCAACCATGATGTAGCTTAACAAAGAACACGCTGTCATGTGATACATGGTTAAGAAGATTGGGTACTTGAAACCATACTTGCTGAGTAGATATTTGTTCAACAACATGATCATAATATAACTGCTTGATGAACGAAGCAGTTATGTATAGTCAGCTCGATTATCACTGTTTCACCATTTTCATTCTTCACACCTTTCTGTCTCATTGGAAATATTTGTTCAAGTCAATGATCTTGACACAAGATGTTGTGGGCCTTCAGCATGCCCCAACATTGGCTAATACAACAGTTCTGATTCTGATTGAAATGGGCTTTCAGCATGCCCCAACATTTGCTTCTTGTTAATCTGAACCTTCAAAATGCCCACATGGATCTGTCTGAAAGAACCTTTAAAATGCCCCAACATTTGCTGATACAGATGTTAAAAGTGTGCTCAACATTACTTCTTGTTGAGATGAGCCTCCAAGAATGCCCAAATATTCATATTGTTGTGAGCCTTTAAAATGTCCCAATATTCTATTTTTGGTTGAAAATGGGCCCTCAAGATGTCCCTCTAGATTTGTCTGATTCACTCTCAATATAAGTT